AGGTTGGCCCAGGATCGGACATTGTTTCGTTCTGCTGTGCATGGGGTCGCTATGAGTCGGTTCCGACTCGATGGCACCTGACAACAACAACAAAGCAACTGGAAGAAATAATGACGTGAAAGCTGAACAGAAAATTTCAAAGAGCAACACAGTGAAGCAAAGTCAAATATTATAATCAAATGTGCAAAGATCTGAAGTTAGAAAACCAAAAGAGAAGAACACACTCAACATTTCTCAAGCTGAATGAATTGAAGGAAAAGTTCAAGCCTTGGGTTGAAGTATTGAGAGATTTTGTGAATGACACTGGAGGCATCAAATGAAGATAGAAGGAATACCCAGAGTCACTGCACAACAAAGAATTGGCCTATGTGTTCAACCATTTCCAGATATACCATATGATCACTAACCAGTGGTACTGAAGGAGGAAGTCCAAGCTGCACTGAAAGCATTGTCAAAAAATGAGGCTCCAGAATTTACAGAATACAAATTGCTGGAGGTGCTCATTCATCCATGCCAAGAAATTTGGAAGACAGCTACCTGGCAAACCTGGGAAACTCCTGCCCTTACAGAGTTTTAGCAGGGCTTCAAGTTTGTGCCCCTGCTGAGAATTTCCATGTCCACATCAGTTATATTGAATCAGAATCTACATTTTAACAAGATCCCAAGTGATTTTGTTAAATTCTGATTCAGTATATCTGGGCTGGTTGAGTTAGTTCCAAGGCATGGTAACCTTATGTACTCACATGGCAGTACTAAACACTGCCAGTCAGATGCCTTCCTCATAATCATTGATCTATTTGAGACCATCGTTGTGGTTAATGTGTCAGTCTCATTGAGAGTCCCCATTATTTTTGCTAGTCCACCACTTTACTAAGCATGATGTTCTTCACTAGGAGTTAGGCCGCCACCCTTCTGTCAGTTTGTCATACTGTGATGGAAGCTATGTTACCAGTATTCCAAATGCAGGCAGGTTCACCATGGTGGACAAATTTCATTAAAGCTTCCAAAATAAGATAGATTAGGAAGAATAGCCCAGTGATCTACTTCTGAAAATCAGCCAATGAATGTCGTATGGTTCACAGATTATTGCCTGAGACTTTGACTCATTCTGGGACCTCATCAGTTGTTAAACAGCCTAATTTGAGTCATCCCTTCTTTACAGATGAGGAGGCTGAGACTTGGTAAAGTTGTTAACTGGCTTGTAATCAACACAGCTGGGGAATGACAGCACTCTCTTACCCGGATGGTGTTGTGATTGTTGTTGATAAGTGTGTGTCGAGTTGGTTCCATAGCGACCCTGTATAGGTTTCCAAGGATCGGCTGGTGGATTTGAACTGCCTACCTTGTGGTTCAAACTAACCTTGGAGTCCAACACATTAACCCACAGCGCCACACCAGGACTCCTACCTGGAAAATGTGTGAAAGATGACCAAGGTCAGAACCATCACCTAAGGCTGGGTTTTGAGTTTATAGTCATCATTTGTCAAGGTGGGTATCATAGGCTGCATTCAAAATCTCAGTTTATATGTGGTTTACTAAAAGCCGTTTGAACTGCAAAGCCGGCAGTTCAAGCTCACCAGCTTCTCCTTGGAAACCCTATACAGGGTCACTATGGGTTGGAACCGACTCGACAGCACTTAACAACAACAAAGTTGCCAAAAGTTCCAATCCAAGAAGTAATTTGTTATTGTTCAAAGGACTCTTTATAAAAGTCTCAACATTTTACTAATACTTCATGGCCATAAACAAAGATAGAATTGGTTAATGAGATTTACTGTAAAGTATAAAGAATTGTAAGCCCTTCCCAGTCTTAATACCAAAATAGGAAATTTAGAAGGTGTCGTATTTAATGAAGGCACTATGGTGTTGCAGAGGTTAGCTGCTTGACGTCTTAACAAAAGATTGGTGGTTCGAACATAGCAGTTTCTCCACATCGAGACCCAGGTAGCTCTCTGCCTTCTGTAAAGATTTATAGCCTTGAAAACGCTATGGACAGTTCTGTCCTGCCCTGTAGGATCACGATCAGTTGAAATCAATTTAACATAATGATTTAATGGTTTGTTTACCTGTAAGCTGTGAAAGTGGATCATTTCCATGTCATGTGCTTACATTCTGGGGCTCTGAACACCATAGCAAGTTGCTTTTCCTAATTGTTGTTTTCCTTTCCTTTTCCTTGCAGATGATCATTCCCGGGTGAGATTGCAGACAATAGAAGGAGACACCAACTCAGACTATATCAATGGAAATTACATTGATGTACGTATTTTGAAACCGTCTATAAAACCACCTGTTCTGACACATACCAGATTATGTATCTACTCTAAAAATGAAGGTCACACACTGGTCCAGCTGTAGGAGCAAACATGTTCATGTTGCCCTGTATGCCTCACCAGAGAACTTAAGAGTGCCGATATAGTTCCTCCTTTGCCCAAGGCAGCCTCATTGTGAGTGAATTTCAAGCTTATGTAGATGAAGAAAATGTTATTTCCATTTTTCTTTTGTCAACAACTTGGATTATTCAACACTTTTTAAAAAGCTTTTTGCATATTAATAGGACAAAACTCGATAATTCCTAATATGGTTATTTGCAACCTCTTGTCATCACTGTACTTTTAAGTTGCCTTCAAAGTAGTCAGCAGCTGTTAAACAGAATTTCCAATTCAAGCAAGACATAGTCATTAAATATGTAGGCTGTTTAATTATTGAAGACTGCCTCTTTGTTCATTCTGCATCATGTTAACTTAATGTTTTACATTAGAATAAGTTCTTTAGATGACAGCGTATTTTCATTTGAAAATAAAAGTGTGCAGAAAATCAAGGAAAGTTGCCATTATCTTGACGGCCCATGTTTACATGACACAGATTCCCACTCCCTTGTAGTTTATGAGGTGTGCTCTGTGTCTGACCATCTTTTTCCCGGTCCATCAGCACTGTCATCCACATAGATGTATCGCTTGCTTTTTGTTGTTGATGATGAGTAGTGTTTGGATGCTATTAAAAGTAACTAATACAACAATCACTAGGAAACAGGTATCTAAAAATAAGTGTGTTCGTTCTTGATTTCTTTCTTGAACATATTTTCTTGGTATCTCTGTTGAGTATTGTTTGGGTACTACTTAAAATAACTAATACAACAATCTCTAGCAAAGAGTTATCTAAAAATAAGTATGCTGTTTTTAATGCTAATTAGAAAGAAATGCTTGACATATTTAGTTATAGATTTGGGGGTAGACCTTAGGGAATGACAATTTAAACAATAATTTATATCTCGTTTCTCAAGAAAATGCCTCTAAACCATTTTGGCAATAACTAAAGAAATAGGAGTCCTGGTGTGGCGCTGTGGGCTAATGCGCCAGACAGCAAATCCATTTCAACTGCAAGGTCGGTGGTTCAAGCTCACCAGCTGCTCCTCGGAAACCCTGTACAGTGTCGCTATGGGTCGGAATTGGCTCGATGGCACTTAACAATAACAACAAAGACATAGGCAGCACAGGATTTTGTTTTGTTTTGTGTCAGCAGGGACTCTGCTGAATTCAGTAAATGTTTAATTGAAGACCCATGGGCGTCCTCCAGGATATCTAAGACCTTCTCCCAAGGGCTCACAGTTTAGGACCTGAAATATAAGGACAGCATCTGGGAAGCCCTCTTACCACAGGTTGACTTGAAAGGTTCTAGTGGAGACTGTTTACACTCCAGTCCTGGCTCCTACAACCTTTGCAGGCCCTTGAGGACAGGAACAGTGTCCTGCTCATCTTTGTGTCCCCTGCACCAGCACATGCCTGATGTAGTATCAGCGCTCCATGAGGCCTGTATGAGTCACTGGCTGATGGAGGAAATCTGATCAGATTAGGCATCATAGAGTCAGGGATTTAAGGTCAATTTTAAAGAGCACTTGAGTAGAGATACAGAGGAGAGAAGGTATCCAGCCTGAAGAAATAATAGGAAGATATAAAAGTAGAAAAAGATAGAATAGTGAGTTTTCCTTTTATTTCAATAGTGAAAGGGTCCATTTTTGTATTTGAAGGAGCCCAGCTGGCACAGTGGTTAAGAACTCAGCTGCTTACCAAAAAATCTACAGTTCAAACCCAATAGCCACACCACAGGAGAAAGATCTGGCAGTCTGCCTCTGTAACCCCACTGGGCAATTCTATTCTGTTCTATAGGGTTGTTGTGTCTGGGAATTGACTCAGCAGCAGGGGATTTGACTTGGGTTTTCTTCATTCATTCAATAAAGTCTTATCATTTACTTGATACTGGTTATGATTTTATTTAGGACCTATAGCATGTCAGTTATATAAAAGCATGTGTTATGCTTATTTTTGTTGGTAACTTCTTTTTGATCAAAAAGTAAAACAGATATACTTGAGAAATCGATATTTCCTCTCTGAATTTCTTTATGCTGCTTTATTGCTGGCTTTGGGCACTGCATTTTGGGTAATGTCAGGGGACAGAAATGGAAAGCATTAGGTCCATAATGATATCATGTATAAAATGTAATTTTTATCTGAGTTGATTTTTCTCTTTCTCAGACAATTCTCCTACAATGTTCTTTACCAACCCTGCTTCCTTTACTCTGTTTTCAACTTACCCTCTTCTTAGTGGGTCATTGTAAAAGCAACAGGTCAAGCTGAATGTCTACCTCTTTAATTTCTGACCCTTGCTTCAGCACTGTGTCATGGCATTATCAGTGTTTAAGAATGGTTTTTAGTATTATTATTGATGTAACTGTCCATACTGCTCTCACAGAAGATGTGTTAAGCCCTTGGCATATTGCCAATAACATCCCAAACACAGATGAAACTCCATTGCACATTGCCAGCCTTGTTTGCACTCTAATAAGAGCCGTGGTCATGTTATTACAGAGAATCCATAAGTTGTTAATGTTTACTGCTCACTCATCGCCTCCTCGTGGGGTTCCGTTATCACATCTCCTGCGAAAATACCACAATGGTTATATTTGAAGCACAGTTACTTATTAAGAAAAATCCAATGACACTGGGCTTGGCAATTTATTTTTCAAGTGATGCAACTCTTGATATTTGTACGTGCATTCATTTCAGAAGACTCAGCATGTGACTTCTGTACAGGTTATTGATTTCATATTTGTCATATATTCTTTCTCATTTATTTCTAGGGTTATCATCGACCCAATCATTATATTGCTACCCAAGGTAAGTTTACTCCAGCTTTGCTGTCTTGCTTTAGTTGTTTGCCCATTCTCTGTCGTTACATACCTGCTTTATCCTCCCCTAGACAGATAGTACACATTACTGTAGCTCTATTTCTTGCAGTTCAAATCATCAACACATACATCCTTGTTTTCAGTGTATTGGCTTTGTTACTACTTCATGTTGAGATCATTAAAAGAAATATGCACATTTTTTCATTATTGGATTCACTATATCCACCTTAGGAATTAATTTGACATTTGCAAAAATAATATGTTGATATTCATTCAATAAATATATACATAATACTCTCTGTACAATGAATTGTGCTTGTCAATGCTGGGCATACAAGCTGACTCTAGCAAGAAGTCCTTCTCCTAGAGTGTGTGGTTTAGTAGGGGAGGTGTAAAATGACTTGTACATTAGTAGGTACATAGCAGTTTAAACCACCTGTAACAGTTACAGAATCCACAGCCTCATGTAGCCACAATGAACAGTACACCCTGGCTCAGAGTGACCTCCTGAGCTATGAATGGGCTTCCTCCTATGTAGATGAAGTCAACAAGGACTCTTGTCAGAGTGGCTTTGCCACTCAGATGATGTACTGTATGGGGAGGGCCCAAAGCCAGCATCCAGGCAACGCATATTTTACACAAGAGGATCTGAGGTCGTCAGAACACAAGTCCCCAGCTCGTGCTCTTACCTCTGGAGGCAGAACAGGGACGTGGACCTAGATCTCTGGCCTTGGGTCCTGCGGTCCATACCTGTACTCTGATGCTTCAAAATGAAATTAAACAATGCCATTGTTGTTGTTATGTGCCATCGAGTCGGTTACAACTCATAGCGACCTGTATAGGGTTTCCGAGGAGTGGCTGGTGAGCTTGAACCACCAACCTTTCAGTTCAAACCAACCTTGCCATCCAGCCCATTAGCCCACAATGCCACACCAGTACTCCAAACAATGCCATTAGTGACCCCAATATTTGTTCTTTGAAATACATACTGATGGCTTTCAGGATATTCTAAAGTAAGGGTCATAACATACCTGACTTAATAGATGTAATAATAATTAGAAATTGTTGTTGTTGTTGTTGTTGTTAAGTGCCATCAAGTCGGTTCCAACTCATAGCAACCCTGAATAGTATTTCCAAGGAGTGGCTGGTGAGCTTAAACTACTGACCTGTGGTTAGCAGTTTGGTTTTTTTTATGTGAACAAAATATTCAAGTATTATTTGAACTTTCAAGATTGAAGATCCCTAGATTAATGTGAGTCCTTGTATGGCATTGTAGGATAAGCACTGGACAGCTAACCACAAGGTCAGTGTTTCCAATGCACCAGCCACTCCTCAGAAACCCTATACACAGTCTTAATGAGTCAGAACCGATTCAACAGCATTTAACAACAAGAAGATTAAAGAGACTACGTAACCTGCTTAAAAAAAAAAAAAAATTGAAACTCCAAAAGTCCCTTCTGTGGACCTTCAGCTGCCTTCTTTTTGTTCATTCTCTCTGTCCCTTTAGTACTGAGGGGGAGGATTCTTTGGGAGGAAGCCGCTGGTAGAGAAGTCACTCTCTGGTGCCTGTAGAATGAACTTGAGTAATATTGAATTGTTCAGTGGACTCCATAGCAGCATCCGACCTACCAAGTGGTGTGGAGCATTCAGTTCCCAGCCAACACCACTAGTGAGGCATTCACATCATGGAATAGTCAGCCACTCAAGAGTAAAAAAGGCAGTATTGACCTAAGGACAAAATACAGACTGGTGGGGAAAGAAGGAGGGATGGAAACAAGACTCACAGACATGAAGTGGGTTAGCTGAAGTTTCACGGAGGGCACTGCAATCATTGAAATGAAAGGAAGTCTATGATTTGTTGAAAGCAAAACTGATGATCTGCTCCATGAACCTTCACTCAATTCACAATAAAAAGTGTTTTGTGTTTTCCAAATGCTGTTGTAGGCTGCTAAGAAATGACACATGTTATCTATTTGCAACCAGAAAAGCAGCACGACCTCTCCTCAAGGCCAGGGCTAGTGCTGCAGATAGGAGTTTGCAAAGCGGAAGGGCTGGCATCACTGTTGTTGGGTGCAGGGGAGAAGAAAGACAGTGAAGGAGTGGCTTTACTATCATGTTAGTCCAGACAATATACATCCTATTACAAGTAATGCTTCCAGTACATAATGTTCACATTAGAAAATTGGAATTTCTTTTCCAGTGTGTACCAGGTGTATAATGTAACTGTTGTCGTTAAGTGCCGTGGAATTGGTTCTGACTCATAACGACCCTGCGCAGGGTTTCTGAGGCTGTAAATCTTTACAGGAACAGAACGCCTCATCTTTCTCCTGCGGAACGGCTGGTAGTTTCGAACTGCTGACCTTAGATTGGCAGCCCGACTCATAACCACTACGCTACCAGAGCTCCTTGTAATGTAACTAGTACCCTCAATTTTCCAGTAATAAAGATTTCTGTTAATCTGTAGTAGTCAATCTAGACAAGTACAATCTGCTCGTGGTGGTCCTCACTATAAAAGAAAAGAAAAAGAACTCAGGGTCTGACAAAATGAGTGAGAGAGACTAATAGGCAAATGCAATTTAAAACTCTCTCCTTTTTTTCTCTCTGTTTTGCACTGATAGAATTCTTTAAACTATGCTAACAGCAGGAACTGATAAAAAACTACCTGAATGGTCCAAAGTACTGACAACCCAGGGGTTAGAAATATACAGATTAGATTTTCACCAAGTTCTGTTAACACAGAGTACAGATCATGAGTTTATCTATTCGATGTCTTTTGTTATTGATTTTCTTACCAGGAACTGAATTTGACCTTTGTGATAATGGCTGTGTTTCTACGAATTGAATTGAAGGGAACACACCCAAGCCAGATGCGTGCTGTTTTCATGTGTTCACCCCTCTGCCTTCCCTCTCATTGTTTTCTGTCTGGTGGTTAAATAGACTCACATTGATGACATCTGACTGACCAGACATTAATAAAATTTACCCTTCAACATTTCTTAATTAGCAAACCCAAAGTCAGAGGGAGGACATCCAATCTGTTACTGATGCCTAATGCCTGTAGTTCATGGTCAACATCATATAAAACTGCAGGGAGAGGCTCACCATAATCAATCATATACCCAATCTCAGTGTAACCTTAGAGATCCATGGGCCATCAGCTAGCTGCACACACCGTCCCTGTACTCAGTGGAACTTCTGCCTGTCTTGGGGTGAGCAAACAGGCTTTCCTCCAGCCAACTGGGCCTGGAGAAGTGTTCTTTTTATTGTTTATTTTTAAAACTGAGTTAAAGAGAGTCCTGCTTTAGATAGTTTTGAGAGAAAGTTCAAGGCAGTTGTGAAAGGAAATGCTGCCAGTTTGTGATGCTCATAGCTTGTTCCAGTGCCAAGTCCCTTGCCTCACATTTAAACAAGCACTATCACCTGTGTGCTGGAGGGCCAGGCAGAAATATTGAAGGATGCCTGCTAGAGAGCTTATTTTCCAGTTCTTCAGGGAGAACAGGTGTGCATCATGAAGTCTGGAGGCCAGGCCACTGAATTTGTGATCATCAGACCCAAAGGGTACACGGATGGGACTGGGTATTTTTTAAGAGTTTGGTAAAGGGAAAGATCTCTGTGTCTAGAGGTGGTCAAGTGGGCTGTGGGGGAATGGTGGGCCTACAGAGAGCATGGAACAAAGGCTTTCATTGTCAGAGGACTGGACAGAGTGGGAGATTTCAGGGTTCCGGGGGCCCCTCAGGCAACAGGAAGGAGGCCTGACTGAAGGTGGCCAGGATCTTCTTGATCACTCACTGAACTAGATTGCCTCAGAAAAATTCAAGTCTCCCCAACATTGTACATAGAATATGGGGTTCCTAGATAGGCCACGAGGTCAGTTTGAACTACAAGGTTGGCAGTTCAAATTCACCAGCCACTCTATGGAAACCCTGTACAGGGTTGCTATGAGTCGGAACCAAGTCGAGGACATTTAAAAACAACAGATTTATTAAAAACCAGGTCATTCTTCTTGTTTGTGGCCTTTGAGTCATCCCTGACTCAGGATGACCATCTACAGGGAATGAGGTGCTGCCCAGTTTTACGCTCTCCCCATCATCAGCTGTGGACTGGACCTTTGTGATCCCCAGGGTTTTCATTGACTGATCTGTGAAAATCCATCACCAGGCTTTTCTTTCTAGTCTGTCTTAGTCGGGAATCTCTGTCTGCTGAAACCTATTCAGCATTTTAGTAATGCACGGCCTCCACTCACAGATGATGGTGGAGGCACATGAGGTATATAGGCTAGGAATCAAACCCAGGCCTCCAACATGTTGTTGTTGTTGTAAAGTGCTGTAGAGTCGACCCCAATCCATAGTGACCCTACATAGGGTTTCCGAGGAGCAGCTGGTGAGCTTTCAGTACAGGGCTCCAACTTGGAAGGTGTGAGAATTCTGTCACTGAACCACCATTGCCTTTTGTAAAATCTGTACTCCCAGATGCAAAAACTTTGAGTCAGAAGCCCAAGAAAAAAGAACTGCCAGGTAAAGTAGGCACAATTGATAACAGCTTTTTAGAAGAAGGGATGGGGTAGAAAGGAAGTCTGTTTCTAAGTCACGTTGTGGTAAAAACGGTGCTTTGAAAAATTTAATTGGTATGTAGCTTTTCCTGGAGATAAAACCTGGAAATAGAGATACCAGGAGAGAGTAACCACAAAATAATCTGGGAGAGATACGAATTCAGATCACAATACTAGCAGTAGGAATCGATCAATGATTCTTATTTCATAATCCAAATTGTATATGCCTAAAATACATTTTCTAAGTTCAAATGTTTTATAATATCACAAAACAGGTATTATTTACTATCTTGTTTAATAAAAAGTCACAGATACATTTTATTTCAGTATCAGTAGCTTTGGTTGATAGAATATTTCCTTCTGAGACTTGATATTTTAATTCAGCCATTCCTTCAATGAATATTAAATCTCCCTTATATATACCAAGCTTTGTGCTATAA